CTGCTATGAAGTGGCTTGCTAAGTATGTGGTATGTTTCAGTAAAAATACGATTTTTTTTCAGTTATCAGTGCAAATAAGCAACAAATCTGTTTGCTTCTAATAGACAACTCTCAGACACACATGTGGCGTTCTGAGGATTTAATGGCGGAATAATATAACTTGTTCTTATAAAATAAGTATTGTTTACTGGACCTACAACACCACACACTGTTTATCTACACCCATGTTTGCATTCGCTCTTTTGTCAGGAAATACAGACCTACTCTTGACAGCTGCAGCAAGTTTTATCTCACACTTCTATATAATGAATGTATGATATTAAATAGAATTAGTATTAGTATAATATATGAAGTGAAAAGTTTTGTGAGACCAGTTATCACTGCAGTCAAAGCTCCTCATAAACATTTTTTCAGACTTGCACATGAGTTCTGTTCGATCACAGGTAGCTCTGATGACTTTTTCCTTGAAGGGACAAACTTTTACTTTCTAAGCCACGTCACCCATTTTCCTGTCTCCTTCTCTCTGTCTCCGTCTGACTTGATGACTCGGGTCAAACCAATCCCTTCATTCATCCCGCTTTGGTCCAGTAATACCATATTCCACACATCACCACTGGAGCCAGTCTCTCCACCAGGTTAACAAAGTGTCCACAGAGCTCACTGAGACTGTCCTCTGACTGAATGGTACAGACTGTATTCTCGGTAGTGATGTCACTTCATTTATTATTCTAAGAAATAAGTGTCAGATATAACACTCTGTTGTATCTAATGTGATTCTTTATTTTCTTTATCTCTATAGTGACCATAGTTACAGTTCAAACCAAATGAAGGATCACGTTTTATGAAATAAACATCAAACCAGCAGCTCTAAGGAACATTTAAATAGTTTCTCTGACTATAGATAATTCTCCAAATAGATACAACTCATGCAAAGATTTTAGTAGCAGCATGAAACAGCTCCTTGTAAGTGGTCATCTAACTTCTAACTATGGAAGCAGCAGCGTCACTCTGCTCCACAGTGTCTTCATGCTGCCGCCACGATGACGCTGCGCTGAGCCGCTTTCCTCCAGGTCCGAGCGGTCACACCACACTGACGTGCCGCTGCCGCTGCCGCCGCCGCCGCTGCTGCCGCTGACAGGAGCAGACAGCCGCTCACACAAATTAACAATCCATGGCGCCACCGCGACACGCACACGCGCGCGCGCACACACACACACACACACACTATTTGCCCTTTAACAATCAGCTATGCAAATTGCAACGTGCGTGCGCGATCTGTATCAGGACATGAAAAAAAGCAGAAGAATGCAAATGATAGATTATTACTATTATTGTCGTTGTTATGATTTTTTTATTATTTGTATTATTTCAGTGAAACTGAGTAAAACAATACACCTCGTTGAAAGAGTGGAGCGAGTTAGTGCGTGTGTGTGTGTGTGTGTGTGTGTCTCCAGACCTTCACCGTGTCCACCAGACAACAGGGTGAGGACACACAGCTCGAGGGAACACAACACAATCTGCACGCTGCAATTACTGTCATTATCCGCAGTTACGCACACAGGCGCCAGTCCAAACTTACGTCATGTGTGTGCACCGAGAAGAAGTGCACGAGACGCGGCGGGACAGATGTTTTAAAGCCGGATCACCTGAGGTCCGTGTCTCACTTTGGTCTCCACCAGTTTCGCTGTGATAATAGCACACGCACGCGCCTGGGAACAGCGTGAGGCCTTTAATGTGCAATTTACTATGACGTGCATCCATGATGACCGCATGAAGGTTTTAAAACATGTGACATGAGGAGGTTCACTCACATATGATCAGAAATGTCCCAGTGAAGACAGACTGTCTCCACAGGCCTTTACACGTGGTGGCTGGATCAACATCTCCATCTAGTGGTCAAAACCGGTAATATCCGGTATAGTACAACACTGTATATTCAGGGCCAGTATGTCACTGACCTTTTCAAGCCCAAGATCACTTTTTAATTCCAAATGTAAGCCGAGAACAACCCCCCCATACAGCTAGGACCAAGAAATAAGTCAGTTCATTTATTTCAACTCTTTGTCAACATGCATATTAAAGGAGCAAAGCTATTATAGTGTCATCGTCTCATAACGTTCAGGCAAATTTGAATCAATCTTTGCACCAGAGGTCAAGATACCTGGAGTGAGATACCAAGATTTCCAGAGCGGACATTATACTTCATGTCCTGCCTCAGATACCCCCCCTCATCTCAATTCCTATTGTTGTGAATCTCCTGCTGCGTACTTCATGTCTCATATTAAAAAGGCAAATGTCCTAAATGACCCGATTTTTCCAGAAAGTTTCTGGAGCTTGGGTCTGAGAGCTCATGATTCTCTCAGACTTAAGAAAGCAGCAGCTCCAGAGCCTCAGGGGACATTGTTGCAGCAGTTTCCAGAATAAGAGTAGTGGTCCCTATATGGCAGAGAAACTGAGCTGAGTATTAGATCAGGTGAGCAGCCCTCTGCTCCATATTTTTATTCTGACTACCCAAGAAGAAATTTGCAGCTTGACACAGGCTGGCAAAGAGAAGGGAAACAAAACTGTGTGTGTTTCCATGCTGAGAGGATGAGCGTCAACAAGCTTTCAGGAGGAAGGTGGGTGGGGGGGTGGGTGGGGGGGGGTTGTGTAAGTGGCCTTTCAGGGAGTGATTACACCCCACAGGCTGTGTCTGGTTTCACACATTAGGAGAGGCTTGTAGGTGTGACATGGCAGAGACAGTGGGGACTTTGCTTAACAAAAGGAACCCTGCGGGCCGGGCCAACGACGGCTGTAGATGGCTGCTGAGAGGGGGGGGGGGTCAGAAGTCAAGTCTACCTGAGATAGTGGACGTCAAAAAGTACATTTAACTTTAAACACACCCCCCCCTTTAGCTTTAAAACAACTATTATAATGGAGTCACAGCTGACTTAATAAAAAGAATCTATTTCTGCACAATCATCCCAAATGTGAAGATCCAAGCCCGGAGGCCGTCCCCCTCCACGGATCAGGTCAGACAGACTTCCTGCAACACCTCCCGGCTTCCCCTCCTCGCTTTGATGTGAGCCATATCAAGGTCTCTGAAGAACCAGCCCGAGGAGGCAGACTGTCTCCATCCTCTCTCATCCACTTTCTTGTGGGGGGGGGGTTCTGCAGACAGGCAGATGAGCAGGGAGACTGCTGGACCCAGCAGCTTTTGATGTTCCACACGGGCGGTGCAGGAGTGCTCAGGCAGACGTTATCTGAGAGGTCTTCAACACAGGAAACTGTGCCTTGTTTTAATGTGGAGAATGAATTCAGTGCTGCTCTGTGCTCTTATCATCCTCACGGAGAGATGACTCAGCAGATAATCTGTGTTTGATCATGACCAGAGGCTGATTATCAAACTATCAAAGAGTGTGAACTATTCTTATTCTGCATTATATTCTTTCTTTTTTTTACATTATCCCCAATTTCAGAGTAAATCATTGATGGATCAGGATGAAATTATATTATTATTATTATCTTATATCTATATTTATATTTTTGAAACTCTGATATGATATTAAGGGGACTGATGTCTATGAGTGTGTGCAGTTTGGTGCAGCTTGATTGAATTTAAGGGGAGTGGTCACCCATGAAGCTCTGCTCTCCTCATGCTGCATGGTGGAGTGTGAGCTGACATGTTGTTACTCTGCTGAAGTGTTGATGCAGTTTAAAGGTTTTTAAACCTAATAAATAAAACAGATCTGGAGCAAAACAATTAATTTAAATTATTCCGGATACTCTTTTATTAAAGGCAATAATGTACCAAGTCAGTTTGGCTCAATGCAGTAAGAGTGTTGCACATGTAAACTCTAATCTTATCCAAAGCAGCTGTTAAATAAATCAAGTGTTGTGACGGGGTTTGCTTTCCTGGCTCTTATATTAAATTGGAAGATTAAATTGCAAATGAAATCCATTTGTTTGTTTGTTAGTTACATTTTTTGCCGGAATCCAGGATTTTGTCTTTCGCGTCCTCAAACATTGCAAAAAGGGACTTTTTATTCCATTTGACCAATTCTGAGGGAAAACCCCACAATCAAACATTAAGGAGACTGATTTCTATGAGTGTGTGTAATTATAATGCAGCTTGAATTTAAGGGCCTTGGGGCAGGTTCTATTCTTACACTCCCTTAGTCCTTGATAGTGTATATTATCTATCTCAGCAAGCATAGAGGGGGATGTATACTCGTGAAACATGTAAATAAGATAGATATCTGGAGACAGCTAGGGAGAAGACAAAGTTCTGAAAGTATTTTTTATAGCTATGTAAAAGTTATTTTAGAAGTCTTATGGTTATTGTGTGACATACATTTCTATTTTCCATATATGATGCTGGAAGATTTGAAAATTAGCTGTGCCTAGTGATCCCAAAAAGTGATGAGACAAATGCACTGGCATGAAACAGAAATACTATATGTATGTATAAAAGTGCACTGCTGAAATGTATACAGTCCAACCAAGTTACTGCCCTTACCCAACCCTGTACCATCTGAAAACTCCCATGAGGCTGTGGGAAAGTCTCCGTGCGATGTTGTGTCCAAAATGTAGAAGCAGGAAGACGTTTCTCTGCGAGTTGAGACATGAGCAGGACGTGCAGGTGAACTTTGATCTGATTACATTTGTCTCATAGAGGAGGCCTGATCTCCCTGTGGAGCGGAGAACAGAAGACCACCAACAGAGGGCAGCAGAGTGCACGAGGTCAATTTATGTTCTGACTTCAGAATGAGAATAATTTATTGATCCCAAGTGGGATTGTGTTTGTCACAATTGCTCCAAGTAAAATGTAGAATATAGCATATAAAATAAAAAATTAAATTTGCAACATCCCTGCTATATACGTGCATGTGTGGGACTCCAACATTTCACTAGTGAGCAAAGGACTGAAACAAACTGAACTGTCAGTCCATTAAAACACTTCTGCTTAAAGTGGGACCAGACAAACCACAAGGTAAAAGGCACTGTCACAAACCCAAGAACAACGTGGCCCTGGAGAGGCATATTTTATTTCACTTGTCAATATACTTCAGGAAACAATATACAAAGCAATGATGTGGTCACCTTTACTGAATGTGTGGTGCAGTTCAGTTATAGACTCAATAGATAGTATGGTGGAACAAAAAGAAAAGAATAAAAACAGCTTTGCAGCATAGGACCCTGCTCCTCATCAGCGGAGGCCAAACAAATCAGAGAGGGACGTGCTACAAAAACAACCCTGTGTGTTGACGTGCTTGTTGAAGATCTTTTTGTCGTTGGTCAAACAGGAGAAAAGAAAACGTGGGACTTTTCAGGTGAATGAGGTTTAAGACTTTCAACAAGGCACTAGCGTATGGACCAAACCTAATATTCCAATAAAATAACCAGTGCTCGCTTTAGTTTAATATGTTTATTACAATACATACATTTCACATTTGACCTTGTGACCTCTTGTTGCCCTGCGCTGACTGAGGTGCTCCACGTCTGTGAAACACCACTCCTGAACTGGGTGCAAATGAAAATGGATATCATTGTGATTTAATGTTCGTCACTACAACTGTTTATAAATAAAACCTTTTTCAATTCTGCGGCCTCTTAAAACTTCACTTATGTTAGCGACTGTACAAAGGAATGAACCAGTGGCAACACCTCAGCTTAAAAAGTCAGAGGGGGGAAAAAACGAGGAACAATAAATGCAGGAACACAAACAAAGGACAGGGTGTTAAGTGTTGGCGTCTCAGGCTACATCCATACTCCTACGTTTTTATTTGAAAATGTGGGGGAATAAGTTCCAACATCACGGGACCACTCGCGTACACTGGGCATGCGTGCCCCAGTGTAAACAGGAAGTACTTGAATAAAAGCTTGTCTCTCTTGTAAAATGCAGAACTGAACTGCATACCAGCTGTTGGCAAAGACAACAAGATCAGCAACGCTTGTAATGTATTATCCATGTTGCGTTCTACACTGGTAGCTGAGGCTAATGCCGGTTGTTTTCTTCCAGAAGTGGGCCACGTGATAGGAACCTGATAAATCAGAGAAGGCTACGACCCAATCAGCAAGCGTTTTTGAGTGTCATCGTTTCCACACATCTCAAATATCTGTCCATCCCGAAAAAAATGCAGCCCTGGAGTTTTCAAACTTAAACAGGGCCAGCAGCGTTTCCAAGCTTCTGTTTAAGCCGCTCTATAACTCCGGAGCAGCGTGGACGGCAGGCATATCCGCAGCAGAGTTGATGCGTTTTCAAATGAAAACATAGTAGTGTAGGTGTAGCTTCAGGAGACGGTGCGGCAGGGCTGAGGCCAGGGAGAGGGTAGTGGGAATGGTCCAAAGCAGCACGCCATCACATCTCTAATTTTTTTTTTTTGTCGATTTTGTTGTGTTTTTCTTTTTAAATCAGTCACTCCACCACACCACCAGGCACTGTTTTTTTTCAGACTGGGAAATGCAGGGCCACCAGAAGCTGCTAATAGATCACTGAACCACTGTGAGCAGTTGGGAATCTACCTGCAGAGAGGGGACGCTCACCGCGCCTGAGTCACACTTCACCCAGAGGAAGAGAGTCGGGACAGAGTTGTCAGTTTACCAAGATTTGAGGAAAAGACCTAAATTTGACACCAGTGTGTTATTATGCTTTATGTTAATAAATGGCTTCAAACATCCTCCTCTGTTTACATGCAGGCCACACATGCTCACTGGTTCAATGATCTATGAACTGACGAAATGAAGCTTTAAGTCTGCAGACGAGTTAACATGAAGGAAAGGCTAGCTAATGAATGTAGCCGCCTAGGTGTTGATTAGTTTGGATGTCAAAAGCTTTGATAGGCATGGCTTTCCATGGCTTCAATCTACAAAACATATTTACAACATAGATAATAACATCTACAAGAAATCTACATTTTTTTCCGTCAAGGGTTTTTTACAAAAACTTGTAAATCGCCCCCGCCCTCCCCCTTCTCCCACAGCAGCTCTTCATTTTTTATCCCCCTTGGTTTCCCCCAGCACAACGGTCCAAGGCGACCCAACTGCAGCTCCTGTGTGTGTGTGTATGTGTGTATGTGTTAAGACTGGGCTCAAGAGGAACTGAACAACTGCTCTCTCTCCCCGCCAGCTTCCAACTATGTGCAATGGGTCTCTCCCCCCTCATTTCCAACAGCGCTCGCTTCCAACTCTTAACCAGAAGTTCTCAGACCATGAAAGAATTCTGATTCTTCAACTTTTCAAGTTCTTTGATTTGCTGTCTCAGAAACAGTATCCTGTGGAGAAAAGAGACAGAAATGACAGTCGGTGTTAGAGGTTTACTTCACGTGTCGACAGGCGTGTGCATGCGTCTCCAGACAAAGTGTGTTCTCACCTCTGCTCACGCAATGTTGCTTGGATTTCACAGACTCTGACCAGAGACCGGAGGTTTTTGAGCTCAGTGCAGTTCTCGGACATGCAGATGCTGCCCATGGTGTGTGCCTCTTCACGTAGTCTTGACGCCTTTAAGATAAACAATGAGCGTTAACGTCATGCCAACCAGACTTTTAATTTTCCAATTCAATCATGTGAATGAAGGAAATGTGTCGACGGAACGAACCTGCTTCTCTGCGTGTTCAGCAGGCCAACCCTGCACATGTTTGATAAGGTTCTCATTGAAGTGGGCAGCGAGGGTGGGGGTGAAGGAGCAGGAGGGCCGGGCTGCTGAGGCGGTTGGGGGAGCGGAGGCAGAGTTGGGGGCATTGCTGCTGCTGGAGGCAACATGGTTGGGACCCGGAGAGGGACTCCTCTGACTGCTGCAATCGACATGTTGGAGAAGAATATAATCAATGAAATCTTTTCTCTAATCACTGGCCTTTTATAACTTCAGAGGAAGTGTTAAAGCTAATAACAAGATGTGAAGTTATAAAGGTGGAAAAAAAGGTGGACATCTCAGATGGACGGTGTTCCAGTGAAGACATCCGTTTTCTGAGCATTCAATTTCTTTTAGTAGGATTAATTCCATTTTAACCCATATCCAAACAATGCACCAAGGTTGTTTTTTCCCGTAGGTCTTTCTCCTGACACTTCTCTAAGCAATCAGAATCCGTTTTGTTGACAAAGTTTTGAAGCAGAAGAACATTAACTTCCCGCTCGACTCAGTCTGATATTAAGTGCATTTGTCGATTTACTCAATATATTTGTCTTAAGCCACTGCTCAGAGTTATTTTTGTCTTGAAAAGAATGTAATGGAGACGGCTTGAAGCTAAGCTGGAGCAACAGGCAAAACAAATGTGCACAGCGCGGGCTGTGAAACAAATGGGACCTAACTCAAATTAAATACTGAAGGAAAAACTATGATCTTGGTGCCAGCTGTTGCAGCAGTTCTTCAAACTATCTTAAATAAGTCCTGAAAAAGATGAAGTGACAAGTAGGCAGCAGAGCAATGGGTGTAGGGGTCAGAGAGGATCGGTGGTTTTACCTTTGCAAAAGCACGTTGTGAAATCTGCTCATCAGCGCTAACCACTCAAACACCTCGTCTATATTCCCTGTGGCATTAAAGGCTGACGCTGTTTCCCCGACTGATTGACTGACTTAACCATAACTGCCCTGTGCATATCAATATTATAGAAAAACACTGTTGTATTGAACTTTGAGTGGAGCATTTTTGTTGCAGGCGTTTTTGCCTTGATTTAGCTGGATTGAGCTGAAACGTGGTCTGCTTGTGGCGGAGACTGAAACTGACTTTGAACACACTGATTGAACTCTGGACGCTGAGACTCTGGGGGAAGAAAAAGGTCTTAGAATGGCAATATTATAGTTTGTCACAATTATTACTGGGACAATATATCATCGAACAAAAACAGTTATGATGAGGTCTAAGTGAAACTAACAAACTGGGAGGAGTGAGAAGAGTCGATTAGCTGATAAACTATCTGGATAATCAATTCTTCTGCAACCTTTAACATCTTAGGAATCTAGTATTTGTTATACGTGAGCAGCAGAATTCACTTATACATTATTGGATGTAACGTAGGTTACCACAGCAGGTGCAGCCTGTTGAGCTCATATTTTTATTGATGTGCTAAAAATAAAATGTAATTCATAATTAATAGCCACATATTTGACCTGGGATAAGTTTTCCCATCGGATAGCCGTTCCTGATATAACCCAGGTTCGGGGGAGATGAGGATGAGGATGGAATCGCAATTAAGATTAAAATGTTCACTGTCTCATCTGGTGATTACCAGATAATATGTTCACAGTGACTATATTTAATACCCTGAGCAGAATGAATGAACGTCTCTTATCAAGTTGATCACAAACTGGCTCAAAATATCCCACAAACAAATGCGTGACTTCAATGAATGAAAGGAAGCAACTCTGAAAAACAGCCACTCGTTTCATTAATGACCAGCAGGTGGTGCCAAAACACTACACAATGAAGTCATCATTCAAAAGCAGATGGGAATGGGCTGAGCTGCATTTTGGTACACAGTATTTCCACTCCTGCAGAAAAGCGCAGGAATACACACATGTACGCTTAATTCAAGTCAAGTTTTCAATACAACTATGATGCACTGTGGGGGGGGTCTCTAGGCATCTCATGACTTGATTCCGATTCAGAGGGTTACGATTTGATGATGAAATGATTATCGATGCATCAAATAATTGTATTTCTATATATGATTTATATTTTTAATTACTACTAGATTATGATTAGTATAATTAGTATTAAAAAGTATTTTAGACTGTTACTATGAGGAAGCTGCCTCTGTCAAATTTCATTATAGCCATAGAGAAGAGCTGAAATTTTTTTTTAACCATCTAAACATGTATGAAAAGACCCAAAATGAAAACTGGACCTAGTGGAGCTGTGCATGGCTCCCTGGGAAGCTTCCCCAGTCTTGGTGGCACTCTGGCTTTGGTAGTGGAGTTGTGCATGACACCCTGGCTGTCGAACCCCAGACTCAGACTAAGCTTCATTAATATAAACTAACACATTACATTCATACAGTCACCAGTAGATATTTTCTGGGACAGAAGACCCATTTACCAAACAGTCTCAAAAGACTGACAAGTATTCTACTTGTTAGTGAATCTTGATAAACATTAGCGAGTTGGTACGTACCCTTGGCGCTGCAGTGTGCGTGGGGAGGCCGTGGTGGCATCATGACTGTGCTGCTTATCGCTGGAGAGGGGATGCTGGGATGTGGGCTGAGGATGAGACGCCTGCTTCACTGACTGCAACAAGGTAGAAACATTTGATCAAATCATGTCGCTCCACTGGATCAAGACATGAGCTTACTGACGTTAAAAGCCCATTTTGTGCAAATGTACGCTACGTTTCTAACAATCTATCATTTGACCTGAGGCCTGACATGAACCTCGGGTTAAGACGCCTCAGTCGGTCCACAAAACAACACTTTTGAATAGGGGAATGCATCTCTATCTAGTATGAATCACTGAAGATTGGATGTGTAGCCCTGTTCAGACTTTTTTTTTTAAGGTTTAGACTTGTATTCTATTACAAGACTTTTGCATAAATCCCATCCAAAATTGAACATTGGTTGTAAAAGGTAAAACAACATTCAAGTAAAGTGCACTCTCGCTACTTAACATTAAAGGAGCTGGATTTGGAATCAGGTAGTTTTCTTTTCCACCAAAGTGAACCAAGTGCTAGTTCTGGGCTGGTTCAACTTTCAAACATTTTAAGAACCAGTTTGCTGATGTGGACAGTTTACGTCACTGTCCACATCTCGACTCCTCAACTGAACAAACCCACAAACTGGCACTTCTTACACATTAAAATATATCTATATCTCTCTCTCTCAGCTGACATCTCTGACCCACTACAATTTAAACGATTTGTTTGTAGCCACTGCCACATTATCAACACTGATCTCCACATAATGATAAATACTTTTCTTTGTGTAGTCATTCTTTTATTCATATTATTTCTACATTTAAATAAACATAAACTGAGACCGTTCAAAACAACATGATCTGGTCTCAACCAAGACAAATGTGTTGCGCGTGTCAGCGAGAGAGAAAGATAAAACAGAGTGAGCGAGTGGGGGTGGTTAATAAAAGAATGAAATGCGCAGCTGTGGAGAAAGATTTTAACAAGTGAAGAAAAGAATCGTTAAGTTGTGATCAGTGTTGATACTGTGGCGGTGGTTACAAATTAATGTCTGTCGGAGAGCGAGCAGAGTGAGGTTGGGCTGAATCAATGAAATAATATAGAATTGAAGGTACTAAATAAATTGAAGTTCACTGTAGCACTGTTCTGACGATCTCTGTAAAGGCAGATCGCAGAGACATTTTAATCGCTTGCGATCAGATACTGTCACCTCTAATGTACGTATGTTTGTGTTCAAAGGAACCAACTGACATTTAAGCCAGTCCGATTATACAAATGTGTCTGTTGTCAACGTGTGAGTGTGTTTCTGTGTGAGAACAGAGAGGGACAAAATGGAGCCAGGAAGAGCGAATCAATGTGCATTTTTTTTTTTAACAGTGAAATATGTTTTCTCTAATTTGGAAAAAAAATAGAAAATCAATATGTGACTGTGTAATATTGTGGCTGTGGACAGAAATCGAAGTGAGCGAAACAGTGACTTGTGTAAAAACACTTTTGGATTATTATGAGACTGTAGCGGGTTCTTCATATGTGGCCCAGGACAAATTTGCATTTACACTGCTGAGAGACTGTGGCCACACATATACCACCTCTGAATGGGTTCTGAGGTTCTGATCTGGCATTAACATCAATCCAGAGTGATCCAATCATAACAGGTCAGTTCTTAGTACAGGTGTAGCTAGTACATGATACTGCTTACTCAATGCATCCTGAGACCTACTCATTCAGAGGTGGTCTGATAAATGTGATCACATTGTTTTCACTGTGAGAAACCGACCTGGGCCACATCACATCTGTGACCTGCCGCTTTCATAATGAGCTGATCGTACATTTACCCTTCTCAGTGTCCATGTGTTGATTTGTTTGCAGACAGCGCCACAATATCAAAACTGACCAACACACACTGATGCTTGGAATCTTTCTTCACAGCACAGCTACACGAGATTCATTCAGCGCCACCTGACTCGTCTCTCTCTACCTCTCTCGCTTGAACCACCACACAGACAAATACACAGAGTGACATAGAAAACTTTTGTACACTCACTGGTAACAAACAACATAATTTGGTCTTTACGAACAGAAACGATGTGCATGTTTATTTGCACATAGAGAGTGGAAGTGATATCTGATCACAAGTGATCACAGTAGACGTTCAGGAAACATTTTAATGGAAGCTGTGAAATGACAAATTCCAGAAGAGAGTCTAAGATGTGTTTTTGTTCAGCATGTACAAAACTAGTAGAACTTCAAGAGGCTCATCAGGTCTGACAAAGCAGAAGAAAGTCTTATGCTACCAGCGAGAAGATTCTATGTTCACGTGTGCCAATTGTTGAGTTGTCCCGGTCATTTTCTCAGAGAAAATGTCACCAAACTCACACAGCTGGCTACTATTGTCACACTGCTTGAAACTCTACACCCGTACTGAGGACACTTGTTTTATTGTCTTACTTTTGACTGTGAGATGACGGGCTGCGTGCTGAGGAGGGGCTTTAGAGGACCAGCGTTGGTCTGGGGTGTGCTGATCCTCGGAGACACATAGGACCTGGGCGATGAGGCGTCCGATGTTAATGACATTGGTGACTGGTTGGATTGCTGAGCTGCTGGAGACACAAACAAAAAGTCAGACAACATAAAGGATCAATACAATCACTGAAAGGAAATATTAAGCAGGAACACCCCTATATGAGTATAAATCTTTACTTGAACTGTCATGAATACAAAGTCAGGAGGAAGATTTTTACATTTTAACTCGATCAGAAGAAATTCAATGAGGTTAACTCTCTTCTAACTCAGATTCATGTCTGCGTGGGCTTCAGTTACCTTGGCTGGAGAGTTGAGCAGCTTGAGAGAGGATAGTAGTGATATTGAAAGCCGATGGTCCAGCAGTGAGGATCTTATGGAGCATCGACTGTAATGATGCTTGTGTGACAGCAGCTGTGAGAACTATGGAAAGACAAACACACCGTTACCCTGTGTGCAGACATTATGTGTTAAATACCACCAATCAGATGGTTTCTACACTGCATCACAGAGAATTTGACAGTGTGCCCAGAAAGAATAAGGTTCAGACATGTTATGATCAAGAAATAACTGTATACAACATACTGGAAGTGAGTCACCATGTGCATGAAAAATGTTTCTTTTTCTAGTGTGTGGAAAAAGAACTCTTCTACGCAGAATGAAAAAAGTTATGAATCATTTCTTGCATACATATTTGCAATTTCTTATAAACTCACACTGTCAATCGCTCGTTGTGTAAATTAGAATGAATGTCACATGTTATCCCTCCTCTGCTCTGGCCTCTTAATCAATTTTCATTCAATTGGTATTTCAACTGCTTAACTTCCCCTTTTATATATCTCGAGTTATTTGTTTATGGTTTAATGTTCAACTATATTTATTTTGATGAACTGTATTTATCGAATAGATCTCAATTCAGAGCCAAATTGAGAACATGCCGGCCAAATTAACCACATCAAATATATACAATCTAACACAGTCATGAACCTTGGTTCAGACTTTCAGGTGTGAAAAACACCTTAAAGCTGTTTTCAGACATGACCTCCAGGTAAAATCTGAAAAATTGGCTACTTAGTTTACCCATAGTTATCCTTTGGCACATGCAAAACGCAGCGGGTGGGTTTCTGCACGGACGCTGTCATAACAGCATCAAATCCTCCGTATTATTCAGGCGAGAGGTGGAGCAGCCAGGTGCAGTAAGCAGAGACAGGACGTATTAACTCCGCTACATAGATCACGTGATCATGTTTACATCACCTCAACACTGTCGTCGGCTCTTATCACCACAAACTCTCTCGACATCTTTGTCCGTGTCTTCTACGTGTGTGTCACCGCATTTCTACAGGGAGATATGTTTTCTTGTTTTATTTCATTTTTGCATCTGTTGCGCATTAGAAGCGCCATCATTGCACCGTTTTTTTTCTTTACCTTGCGACCACAGCCTCTGTTGTTGACTTACTGAGTGACTGGCTTGTCAGTTATTACCAAATTTTGCAACCGTGGTTTTAAATAAAAAGCTTTCTAGTGTTGCTTCTGGTCTTGTGGTTGTAGTCTTTACTTGGACACTGCGCTAGTAAATTATTTTTATCGTTCTATTTGTAGGGGCAAATGCAAGTGAGTTTTGTATGATACAGATTCTTCTGTATAATTGTTATAGGTTCACAAATGCGTTCAACAACAGAGGGAGCGCAGACAAAATGTTAGTAAGTCAGTGAACTAGAGCTTCAACCTCAGTGAACAAGAAGTTGCTTCTCACAGAAAAAATGCTTAACGCTAAAACTAAAAACTCATTGACAGTGTCACAATCTGTGGCCGACAATTTCTCACACCCACAAAGTTGTCTTGTTTACATGTCCCCCCAGCAGCAGCCTTCTATCTGAATGTGTGTAATTGTATTCCTATGTTAACACTTATTGTTTCTCATCACTGTCAACTGGATTTTCATCACCCACCGTCAAGTCTGACGGTTGAAACAGCTATTAACATTTTGCCTTGAGACATGGTGAGACAAGGTTCTTTTCAAGCGTAGCCCAGCCATGAAGAATTCTTCATCCACACATTCAGACATCAATAAAAACAGTGTAGTACTATGCAGATGTAAAGTAGAGCAGCATACAACACTGTGCTCAGACCAGCTGGTCAGATCATCATGTGTCATGACAAAGCCTTTGACACTGAGCAGTCAGAGAAAAAGCCGAGAGCATTCAAACTGTTTCCCTTTGATCACTGCTCCTCAAAAAAAGCCACCGCAGCTATTAGAATACAGACACTGGTGGGATTGTTTGCCTCTTAGATCAGCGTTTTTCTTACCTTCATTGATTTTCGCCATGTCCACACTGGCATTGTTGAGCTGCAGGGCAGTCTGAAGTGCTGGGAGAAGCTGGCGAAGCAGGGTGGGGTCTTGAAGTAGCGGAGGGGCAGACGACTGCAGGACTGGGGACACAGGCACCGTGGAGGCCGACGATCCAGCGGGCCCTGATGATGGGTTCAAGCTCCCTGAACCCGAGGATGATGACTGAGACTGGGTGGCATGGGTCGCTGTGGGCTTCTCCACCTGGGCTGACTCTGTGAAGTCAGCAGACAGGATTTAATTTCAGTAGGCAGAGACAGTCTCACAAATCCAGTTCCTTATTGATAATATACTGGCAGACATCAACTCACGCCCTAATGCCCTATTCAGACCAAAAACAGTGTGGTAAGAAAACCCAACTGTGACTGATGTGAACAGAGCCAGTCTGTGTTATGTTTTCTTAATAGCATATAAATAATGCAATAAACTTCCATAAAGCTCAACCAAGCAAGAGGCATCTTCAAAGGTTTCTGGTCCCACATGAATATCTTTTACAAAACTTAAGACAAGAAGCATGCAGGGTCATTACAGTTTGAGCCAGGTTCAACTTTTTTTTTTTTTTTGACTACCTTGTAATGCAAAAGAGCATCACCTCTCAAAACACTGTGGAGGCCAACCACCTACAGGAGAGCACAGATTCTTGTTATTTATTTCTACAGTTTACCTCTGGATTTCCAATCAATGATAAAACGGTTGCCGGTGTGCCAACTTTCCAGAGTTGTAAAGCCCTGTTTGAGAATTGAGTATTTTGATATCTTGTATGACTTTAACACATTGATCTTCAAATCTGACTGGACTTCTTGGACCACATTTTTATTGACCTTCTGGAACCTTAGAAACCATGACCTTTTCTGCAAAAGCCCTCTGTGCCGTTTTTACTGCATTATTGCAAATTCAAACCGTGTCCATTAGTTAATATGATATTTAGATTTTAATTACTGATGCTAAAAAAGAATTTTAGCTGTACCAACATGTGGCCTTAATGTCGTAAACATCTGACAAAATATTATCGTTAAAAACTGGTGCAAGCGGATACTAAATCATATCAAACTCTAGGAGTGGGGTGACTCTTGGTTCAATAAAAGGAAAGGTGAGCACAAGACTTTGATTGTTATTCCAGTTCACCAGCTGCCAAACCACTTACTGCAGTCTTCTGCCAAATGGGCTGCAAATTAAATGACTGGTTCTTTTTTGAAGTTATGTAATTGCATTAAACTAACATCACCTTGAATGAAAGTAATTAAAATGCTAATTTCAATAAATAAATTTGTAATTTCTTGACCAACATCAGTGACTTAATTGTTAATTTTTTTTTTATAAAACCAGAAGTTGGTTTGCATGTTTTTGTGTAAGGGAAGGAAAGGGGAAAATGAAAAACAGTGTGTTGTGTTGTTATTAACTTTATGTCTCCAGCAGTGCAGAAAAGCTGTAAACTAGTACCATAGAAAGCAAATCGCTTCAAAAGCACAGGTCTTTTTCACTGAAACAGACAATGGACCGAGTTATTTTCTTCACTCAGAGTTTAATGGAATTCTGTGAAGAGCTGAGGGTTGTGTTGTTCACAGCTCTCATTTGTCAAGAGGTCAGTAAACATTTCCATTAAATTGAATCTGCAGCTAATTGTTATACAGTATTCACAAATACATCACCATTGTCTGTAACTAAATGCCTTTTTTGGCATCCGCTGCTTCAATGTCATGTAGTTGCATTTACAAGGCTCAGCAAATGTCTCATATTTTGAAAAGATTGATAAAAAACAGGTAGATTTAACTAGCTCACATTGAGTTAGATCTGCAACACACAGTGCATGTACACCACCCAGGTACAATCAAAACCTTCATGATTAGACTGGCTGTCTCAGTAACGGGCTGATGAACCATCAAAAAAATCCTTCTCCGGCCGTCTTGGTGACAGCTCGGGTATCATCATTTAAAAACACAGAAAGTGAGTTGCTTCGTGAAGCCCCTAACCCAAACACAGTTGAGCGTCATGTCAGCTTCAGTTCATTTTTACCAAATGTTGACCTGAGAAGCCTCCACCTTATCTAATCCCAAACAGCCCTTCCTGTAGAATTACCGTTAATGTGTACAACTGTCGTACTGTAGCACATGATTACAGCTGATGTTGCAGGCAAGCTACTCTCTACATGCATATAAGACCTGGTTTCATTACATGGCCGGCCGCTGCAAAATTGTTGATGCTGCTGCTTCTGGGTTATATTATAGACCCGCTATCTTTGTACCATGCTGTGTCGTGTTACCCTGCCATATGTCCTCCCTCCACACTCATCTGCTGACCTGTACTCACTTTACACTTTAACAACACCGAGACAAATGAGAAGTTATTGGTAAACTTATAGTACTGAAGTTTAGTTTGTTTCGCCCATGAGTTTCTGCGACAGGTATTAAAACACACGAGACACACCCGACATTATCAATTAATACCTAAATACATGTAATAGTTCTTGTTTGTGTTAATTGAAGAGCAACTGAGACGGGCAGACACACACACTTCCCTCAGATTATGACACAATGCAGGTTTTTATAAAGATCAGATTAACGTGCAAGTGATGAGAAAAGAGCAGAAGAACAGAGTCTCTGGTTGACTGGTGCTGCGCAATGCGCCTGGATCCAGTGGCCCTGCCAAAAGGAGCGCTGACAGAGGGACCACCCGGACACATACACAAGCCTTCGTGCATTGATGTGAAATAGTCAAAAACAATAACATCACTATTGATTTTATTATTTATTATGTTGGCCGGACCACCCCCACTGCTAAAAGAAATACCAGAGGACAACAACTTGACTTCAGCTTTCCAAAACAAATGAACACTGTCCCACTGTGTTGACAGAATGTCTGCAGGCAAAAGGGCGAAGATATGGACAGGATTTATTATTAGGTATTAAGAAACAAATATTTCATGATAAATGAAATGTATTTAATGGCAGCCTTAAGGGAAGCTTTATAGAGGTCTACAATTGTGTAGCAGAAATGTTCAGCAACAGTTTGCCTGGAATAGCCTTCAGTGTTTCCAATCAAATCTTTCAAGCCTGCTGTTAGGCATAAAATAACAACAAACAAAAAATAGGCACATCGAGCAGAAAAAATCCAAGGTGCTTAGAAACACAAAAGCTATAGGCTTGAATACATTTACATTTTTGAGAGAACACTGCTTTTTTCATGAGCAACAGAGCCTGAGGGACAGAGAGCATGCCCCCCCCCCGCAAGAACACGCACAGCCACAACTAACAATATGGCGAGGGAGAGAAGAACGAGTGAGAGAGCAAGTGAGCAAGCAAGAGAGAGAAGCAAAGAGCAAAGCACACATTACTACCAGTTAAGAGTAACAAAAAATGATTTCATCAGACGTGCTTCCCAAAGCCGGCCACTTGGACACGGTGCCACCTCAGCATTTCTGTGACATTAGTAACTCCTGAGCAGGTGTTATCTGCCTTACCCCACATTTCTGAATTTAAAGAAGTAGACGTGATTATTATCATAGCCAACTGGACATGCACACAGTACACTCTCAATTGCATTGGAGTGATAAGAGAGGGCAGGTGTTAGTTACACTGTGGTCTGTCAGCCTGGCGAGGACAACAAAAACTTTAGAAACATTTTGATGGTCCACTGACGGAGCAGGAGCAACAGGGCAAAACACTATTTTATCTTTTTTTTTTTTTTTTTTAAAGGATAATCATGAAACTCTGGTGGGACACACTAGATTATGGTGGCTGCTACAGTTCAAGCAGTTAAAGGGAAACACTGTCGGCCAACTTATCTGTTTTACTCTGTAGGTATGTGGTGATGGGTGAATCCTATTGTTTATGCTGCTATTTGTAAATAGTAAAAATTAACTAATAATTTGTCCTATAAAAATGAAGTCTTCGTATTTATTTAATGAGTCAAATACACACATTCATGCTAAATATCTGTATAATTAAAATATAAATGTATATCCCTACTTGGCACCAGTTGAAGTGTGTGTGTTAGAACAACTAATGAAAGAAACAGACCACAAAGAACTTCCACCATCCAGATAACAGCTATTTCCTCCAAGATTTTGTTCAAAATGTTGACAGCTAGACAGCAGCTCAAACAAACTGAGTAAATACAGAAGTAAACACACTGGACAATATCCAGACTACAATCAGAATTGTTTCGCAATGCATTCACAGCAATTAGTCATAAAAATGTAGCTGTAAGTGTTTTTCCCCATTTCCCCTGTTTTCCCTGTTAATGTAAGGTCGTGAGCAGAGGAGAAATGTTGGATAAAAAGCTGTGTGCAACAAGAATTCTACAGAGAGCCGGAGGTGATAGTGGGATGAACTTCATGACCTGTTGCTGTGCACTGAAACCTAATCAACTCAATTATAACAATTGTGAGGGTCATCTGTTTCCAGCCAGCTTCAGTTCGACTGCTCACAAACACACACGTAAAATTCTGTGCTGATTATTACCATAAGCACTCTGTTACACTTGTGTTAACGAGAGCAAAATTGGACTTAAATGAACCCTCACACACAATCATATTATCTCTCCACTGTGAACACTCCCTGTACAAGACTGTAAAGGATTTTGGTGTACAGCTGCAGTACATTGCAGCCACAGCAGCATGCATGGTTCAGCTATTTAGTCTCAGTCTTTTGGTAAGCAGTTCCTTAGCATTCATCAGCCAGAGTTCAGCTCAACAAGAGTCATCACCGACCAAACGAAAAACAGCTATACTTAAGCTGAGGGCAGATTTTGAGGACTGAGATGGAGAAAGCTCATCCTTGATGAGCAAAGAAAATACACAAGATACATAAAAGAAGTTTGATTCATTAAGATCTGTCAACGCAAACCAGATGGAAACAAATGCATTGTAATAATAAAGACTTACTGGAACCAGTTGGGGCTGCCGATGCTTGCATAGCCTCCCTTCTGTAGTCCCTGTCTTTGGGAAAACTGTTGACAACTGCAGTCTTTGTTGCCTCTTTTTGCCTCTGTTCTCTGTAAAACACACAAGCATACAGGCAAACAGATATTAGCCATGTATCCAACCTGACAGTGATTGAAATGGGTTTGGGTAAAATAATTACAGCTACCTCTCAAGCCACTCTTTGGGCTTCTCCCACTGGGACACTTCTGTCCTGCAGTTGTAGTAATATTTCTTTCCAGAAGAGCTGATGTGCTCTGACCAGTCGTCACCAGGTTCGTAGGACTAAAACAAAAAGGAGCAAATGTTTACGCACACGTGGCAAACCAGACAGTGTGTTTGTGTGTGTGTGTGTGTGTGTGTGTTCAGAGGGTCTGATGTAAGCTCTTGTAATATAACCTGAATTGTACAAGAGAGATTGGGGCTTTAAGGCAGTTTGCTTTATCTGGGCCAATTTCAGAAGGCGCTTTTATCAGGGAGAAGATCTTTATTTAGTTTTCATTTCAGAGACAGCTTTAGATTTTTCAGGTAACCAATGTGAAACACTTTTCTCTTTTAAAGGACATTGTATTGTGACTTGGGTTTTGTGCTAAATTCATGCACACAAAAACAGCATCACAGATCCTTCTCAATTGCAATAACAAACAGATGAACTCATCGGTTTGTTTGTCCTTCAATTTTCATCCACAAATAAACTTCACAAATGTATTCTTTGTGACTCAAGGACGTGCAGTGTCAGCCGAATGTTTTTAAGAGAAACAAATACAGTCAGGGCTGAGGCAGAGGATCCACGTAAAAAAGGCTACACTGGGTCAAAGCAGAGACTCCCAAGGAAAACAAGCTGGAGCCACAAATCTCATTCAGGATTATCTCAAGTGTATTCAAGTACATTTTACACAGAGACTTATGCTGAATTTGAATTTGTGGTCAAGTACTTAGTGACCAGGTATCAAGACAGCAGTGAGGTAGAAAGTATGCAATGATTAGATGACTATACATTAAAAAATTAATTAATCAGGCACATGTTGAACAAGCACTACAATAGTAAGCAGAATTAGCATATAGACACAATTTATTAGGGACACCTTGTTGCTTCCAATGCCACTGATTTGCTATAAATTAAATCCTCCCTTCATGATGGTTATAATATTCTACGTTTGTAACAACTTTACAGAGGTGTTGATTTCATTTTGGAGACTGCAATTTGGGATGCTGTTGAAACTTTTACCTGTAAAATGCAATACAATTCAGCAGCACCATTAACTACATCCTCCAACACGACACCTTCAAGAGGGAAGATATATTTTAAGACTTCTGTATCAGACAAAGCTGAACAAGAGCAAATGCCAAGAAACAATTCAAACCATTGTGCTAAAAAGGAAGCGAGTCCATCGTCTGGCTCCGTGCTAAAGCACAGGCAACACTTACTGTGTCTGAGGTCTTGCTGGGGTTTGAATGCGAGTTGGAGCTATGAAGGGAGCTGTGGTTGTGAGAATTTTCTTGAGGGGAAAAACTGGTCCCTGCAACAAAAGACAGCAAAGGGAGAAAAAAAATCAGTAACAATAGACAACAGTAACACGCTGAGTTCATGGACATAAAAACATGACTGAGAACAGAATTGCACACATCAGCTTGTTTGGATCGTTATCCTTTTAATGCTTAGACATATGCTCACTTTCTTACATCTAGATACCACATTTTTATGAAAGACGACTGCACAAAGATTACATGATAGTACACATCTAATTTATTAATATAACAGCTTCTATTTTAGTTGTTGCTTTGCCGAGCAAAGTATCTCAAGTTTTAAGACGTGGCCCAGAACAAGTATACCTTCATCACAATAGATCTGAAAACAACGCTGCCACCCATACAGGTAACAGAACAAGTATAGCAATTACATGGCATGACTGAACCTGTTTTCGTCTCAGCTCTGCCCAACTGTTATTAGAGGCTTCAAGTGTAAGCACTTCCATATATTTTGACATTTGTAACATTTTCTAGATTGTTTTGGGGATATAATTATATGTCAGTGGAGGAAACCACAAAAGGCAAGGCATACATGAAAGGCCTCTGGTGGCAATGTCTTCTCACAAACAGAAGATGGAGGGGACAGAAGTACTGTGCACAACTGTCATAGATTTATTGAAATCTGTGGCCCAACACAGCCCTCAAAGACAATCCCAATACATTCTGTATATACAGCAATCTGCAGCATGTAGTGCAAAATAAACACTTTCAGCTTGTAACACATTCAATTTCATTAAGCACTTCAAGTCAAAAAAATGAGGTTGTTGTGATTGCAACTCATTTTAAAGCTACGCAGGTTGCGATCACCAGTTTTTTCATGTCTCGTGGCATTCATCAGGCTGAAACACCCTCATTACAGTTTGGTGAAACCCAGATGTAATTGCAGAAGCAGACCTCAGAAAAGAAGAGGTTTTGGAAGAGGAACACAAAAATGTTCTTGCTTAAAGCCCATTGTTTGTTGTTTGTACACTGGGTATTTCTTAGACAAATACTGTCACTTCCTATGATGCTGTATGTAAGGTTAAGTTTCTCACCCATTTTTTAAAACTCCTGTAAAAATAAAAAATCCTGTAAGGTCTCAAACGGGACTCAGAAACCAGCAACAACAAGCATTCTCAACGCACTCAACAACATCTAGATTGTAAACCTGCTCTCACACAGGACTCCAGACATTTTCCTGAACTCTTCAGGAGGGGGCTGTATGTGAGAAAGTCTGAATCAGTTGCTCCGGACATTTTCTGGAACTTTTCCTGCCAGCCCCCTGGTAAAACATTCAGAAAATGTCCAACTGAGAATACAGCAGGAAAATTCACAGCCAGCGAGTGGGTGTGTTTACATTTCCAACATCCAATGAAAAAACACAAAACTGAAAAAAACCTAAATACAATACAAATATCACAGGATGAAACAGAGGAGCCATACACATAGAAGACCCTGACAAAGTTTTCCTCTTGGAAAGACAATGAGATTTGAGTCTTTGACAATAATAGCAGACACTGATGTTGAGGTGCTCAGTGTTTCCCCATTTATCATTTGAACTGTGACAGCCGTCCATATTTTTAAACTGGTGGGACGACAACTTCTTACAACATAAGAGATCTCTCACTTTCTAATTGCCCTATTTGATGCTACCTTGCACCATCATGTGCTAATGTTATTGTCCATTGAGTTTTTATCATGCTCGCATGTCAGACCTCAGTTTCAGCTGCAGTCGTGGCATGCAATGCAGTTCTTCCTCTCGCACAAGAATTTATTTTTCACTGTTTGATAGCATTTGAACTCAGCTACAGAATTTTAACAGTTTGTATTAATAGTGAGTAAGATTCAGCAGGCGTCATTAGCAAGTAACTTAAACCATTTAGACTTCAGACCCGTAAACACCTGCTGAAAGCTGAGAATGTAGACATGTAGTTACTACAACCTGAAAAGGAGTGAGCTGCACAAAGTGAAAAATATTAAATTCATGTAGCTGTTGAATTGAAAAATACAGATGTTGCTTGCTTACTTTGCACAATGGATTTTTTTTAACAAGGTACTAGCTCCAGATACTGGATCAAAGCATTTTAAACTTGAGATGGCAGAACTCCTAGATAAAGTTTACATCAGAAACATGTGACATAAAGCAGCTTATAAAGTCAGCATAATAAAAGTGTAAGCAAACAACTGCTTTATATGTATCTAGCAGACTGATGAACATTAATATTCACTTGGAGATGTGTTCACTCCCCTTTGTGCTCCTTTTGTCTTCACCAATCCCTGAGAAATAGCTGCTAAATGCTTCGCTGGGTTTACTTTCTGTATCTGTCTGTCAGTCAACCAGCGAGTACAGAGTCAGCTGCCTGCTGCGGCTGGAGACAGGACTGATGACAGCAGGAAGTCTAGCACGTCAGTAAAGCAGTTGGCCAGAAAACCAAAACAATGAGCTGAAGATGCAGAACCTCCTCATACAGTGCAGTGATCATTCTCTGCAGGTACATCACTACAGGAAACATCTTTCACAGATAAGTGCTTTTAATCTATTGGTCATGTAAACATATTGATTAGTGAAGCTTAAACACCTATTTATGTTTACATGGTTTCTTTAACAAGTTTCAAATAGAGACAATGATATTGAACTGCATCTCTGGTGCCCTGTTCAGAGATGTATTACTAGGCGGCTGTCATCCACTCATTTGTCCTGCCGCAGTTTTATCTCACTTCAATTTTTTGAAGTGAGATAAAACACTTCTCAATATAACATTAAAAAATCGGACATTTTGTAATATTGTGTCAGTAAAGAGCTGTGTGCAGGGCTCTTTGCGAACCACTGCTCTCTCACTCACAGACACACTGACCTTCTGTCAGTCACACTGACCATCGACAGCAACAGGATCAGTCCCGCCACAGGCTGTTTGACACCTACTATCTTGTCGTGCCGGTAAGAATGAGACTTTACACTATGTGCATGTTCAATCACAATAAATCACCTCAGTCCAATAGTGGACAGCTTGTGTATAATTATAAAATTAAGAAGCATGTCCAAATAGGTCTGGGCGATTAAACCATTATCCCGATATATCTTTTCCTCGATAGAAATATAAGACATGGTCAACAGAGTTCATTCCATCCATGTTTTGACAGACAACCCGAACAACCAATGATTATGAGACTAACGCTGCACCGAACCAATCATGTGGCTGGAATAGAGTTACAGCCATGCCAGGTTAGGTTGACGCACACAGAGCATAGGAGCAGCAGCACACGTGCCAATGTTTGGGCTACTTCAAAGAGGTGGACAACTCTGCACTGGTGCTGTGACTGGACATAATCGATTCATGTTTAGTGCTACGTTCATTGTTTCAGCGGTTTCCCACTACTTAATAATTATAACCACCACTGTTGCTTCAGGATCAGGATAGATGCACATTAAAGGTCATCCTGTATGTGTCAGAGTCTGCTTCCTCCTCACTCCCCCGCTGACCTGCGCTCACTTTCCGCTTTACCAATAAACACCATCACTGATCACAAGTTATACGGACAGGTACAGGACTGACATTTACTGTGTCTGTTTGATTCGCTCTAGAGTTTATGATACACGTTTTAACCTGCTACACAACATGAGACGAACATGCACAGCAAGGACATCAGGGTTAAAGTGACCAGAACGATCCGACACACACACCAGACAGAAGAGAAGTTCTTCCCCCAGATTATGACTCAACGCAGTGTTTTAACTTCATTGTTGCAAAAGAAGAGATGCCCTGCTGATCCAGGAACATAAATATGAATTCAGCAGGTTTTTGTACAGATCCGTTCTGTGTGTGAGTGATTAGAAAACATCAGAGGAGCAGACTCACTTGTTGACCTGCGCAGAGTAATGTGCTGCAGTGCAGTGACGCTGATTTGATTTATCGACTGATGTGAAAAAGAACCACAGTGATAAGATTTTTGTCCACATGCTGAAAGTTTCATTATACTTTTCAGTCTTTCCCATACATTGATTTATTTGGGACCACTGTCAGACTATTAATACTGACTGTCAAATGTTGATATTTACCTTTTCTTAAAGGTAGAAATCAATATACCTTTTTTCTTCTTCTAAAAGAAAGAAGTCGGAAGAGATGGTCTGTGTGTGTGATGCTACCAAGTGGACCAATCACAACTCTTGTGGATACATTTTTGGGGAGATGCACGTCAGTGTACTACGTAGGGTACACGTCTATGTGAAGGTACGTCAGAGCTACGGTGTCGATTTGACTCAGGTGCATTAATTGGGCTTTCAAGCTGTCCACTAACGATCACATCACTTGGTCTGAACAGGGTCTGACTAATCTGTTTTGACATTTGTGAATGAGCTCAATTTGGAAAACGGATTATACATTTTGGCAGATAATGGTAAAACTGACTTTAGACCTCGATGCATTATTGTTTATATTCTGTTTTAATAATTATCTTTATTTGTATAGTTATCAACCAACCTGCGATGTAATGACCCAACAAGCAAATATTGGAAGTTTATACTGTTGCTGTCTAAGCCAAAATATAGAAATAAAATAACTCTTTGGAAACTTCTTTTATAACAGCCAGTGCCAGAGACTGTAGCCTTAGACACAACATCAACCTCAAATATCTGAAAATAAAACACAACATTTTGTGAACCAATTCCAATAACTTCATTTGTAGACCTCAGGGACATATTCTCAATTTTGTATCTACAAAGTAAGCAACCCCACAGGCAACATGCTCATGAGTTCATCCACAGATGATTTGTTATCTTTTGCCAAGAGACAGAGATGTTGCACACAGAGCAGTTACTCTTGCAGATCAACATCAGTTCTTTAGCTACACAAAATATTGTTTGCCAAACTCAACTCTAGCAAATAAACATACTGGTCTCTGTCAAAGCTCAGCTTATGCCCCAAATCACAATAAAGCTACCTCATTAACCGAAGTTTTGCGACACACATCTGCCAATCTGTTTTATAGCTTAAAAAGAAAATCACAGACAATGTTTTATTAAAATGGATTAAAACAAACACCACTCTGACTTTTCATTGACAGAGTCAATTAAGATCCATCTTAGCAAACCTCAAAAAGACCTCTCACATCGGGTCATGCTAGCAAATGAACAAATTTGGATATAAAACCTATAGCAGGCAAAAAGATACCTATTGCCCCTCACACAATATTTCCTGAATGCTTGGACAGCTTGCATGTTATTCATTTTCATGAAACTGCAGCAGAATGTGAATATGTTCACAACACATCTAGGTACGGGAATAACCTTTTAATTTAGCACATCATTTAGGTGCACCCAAGATTTTTCACTGCGGCTTTTGGCACTGCAATAATACCTTTTTTGACAGTTCCCATATATATTTAACTATGGCTGGGTATTGCCAGTGATTTGATAAATGGATTTGATTCTGATTCACAAGATCTTGATTCGGTTTCAGAATCAATATCATTTCCTTTTGCCTGGATATGAAAGAAATTCTCGGGGGTTTGTAGCTGTAAACTGAGCAAGGAAACCTTTAACTTGGTGCAATAAGAATATCATGGAATGGCTGTCTCAACAACACATTTTGTTGGATGAGAAATCATTGCGATAAATTATATATTATTGTCACTTTCAAACCATTTTATACCACTAGTACAAAGATAATATTATAGCATAATCATGCAGGTACACCCTTTTAAAGAGCAATGAACTTAATTCTAAAGAATATTCAGTCTGACTGAATTAGAATTAAAACAAACTGATAAATGAAATTGATTGTCTTACCAGCTCGGTAAAATGGATGGGATGGTTATGAATTAGATGAGCTTTTAGCTTTGTATTGTGTTAGCGTTCCAGCAAACACAGAGTAAACTTCAGTATTGTTCAGGTCCTGATTACCTCTGATAGGTGTTTGTGTTTTTTGTTGAAGTGAAAAATGAGTGCAGGTCAGCAGGAGTGTGGAGAGAGGTCACCCAGACAGGAGTCAAATCCACCACTGCTTCTTCTCTGATCCTGAAGCAGCGGCAGTAATCATTTTGTCTTCGAGGTCTGTCGTGGAAACCCTGAATTAAATTGTTTTTGTCGCCACTGCTCGACATTTACCGCCTCGTTCAACGCCTCTCATCTCTCCTTCACTGTCCGAGTGTCAGTGTGTGAGCGAGTGGGGGCGGGGCATGTGTGTGTGAGTTTAAAATGCATCTTGGTGAACTACAAATATGGTCAGATGCTGCTTAAGTTCAATAGTGCATCGACCACAGCTCGTGCTTATATGATCCAAGGCTACAACTGGAATACTTACATTATAACATCAATAAGCTTTAAGCAGGTTGTACTTATGTTTGCAGGTCAAAAAACATCACTGCAGAGTTTTAGTAATAAAGCTCAGTCAGTATGAATTGTACATTTGTACGGAGGAAAAACCAACACCTCCCATTTCCTTACATGACAGCATCATCTTATGTCATTAAATAAGGAATGTGTTGTTTCACTTTAAACCCATTTTATTCTGCATAACCACCGCGTCTCACCTCCATCCCTGTCCCTGGCCCGGTGTGTGTGGACAGCCTTTGCTCTGCTGTGCCCCGTGCTGTCGATGTGTTTGTTTTCAGGGCTGTCAGACCTCCGGAGCATTTTGCAGGGAGGAGTGACATCTGAGGAGTCTCGCATCTTTTCATGTCGGTGGTCCCCTCCTGGATGGCTCTTGGATGAGTATTTGAGAGTCTGCGGACACACAAATGAAAAAAACCCAACCTCACTACAATCTAGTGTCTTGTATGCACAGTGTCTTATTATGTGGTCTCTCAATTAAGTTTCAGCAACTTGTCTGACACCGTGTTTGGCAAATTGAAGAAATATAATATCAAAGTACAAATGAATAAAGATTTTATGAAGTCAGGTGTTCATTTGCAGAGTTCATCACATCCAAGCAGCTGATTATTAATGATCTGTGAGTCACAGACAAACCAATCAATTATTTCTAATGCTACATTAATGAAGCCATCTTCGCTAAGCTGTTGAGTAGTCTCTCACTTGAAAACAATGTTTGCATCCAAACTAATACATTTATAAATTCGGATCAAGACTAAGTAAACAGCAAATTGAAAACATACGATGATTAGCAAACTTTACTATCCAATGTGTGGATTAAGGCTTTACATAATCTATTAGTTTGCAGTTCACACCTCCAGAACTTTGATGTTTGGCGAGCCTTGTCAGCTGTATCCTTAAAATGACAGACTGCGGTCAGGCCCTAATCGGACTGGCTAGCAGGCAAGCTAACAGTAACAAGCTAACATTAGCTTGGAGCTGCTGTAAAACTCGCCTGTAGCCTCTGCTAAAACCCGCTGATTTCGACGAATACGTGCAGTCAGCGGTGTCTTTGCCCGGCGATATTAACGATGTGAGATATTTGCAGGGCTCGTGTGTCCATATCAAACACGACCGTGTACTTTTCACGTTATTTTCCGCACTGACTGGGGCCTGCTGTGCTCCCTGGAAGCCTGAGCTCGAGTGTCCATTTTAATCTTATTTGCTGCTAGCTAGCGTGCTAGCAGGCTACGGCAAGCTAACAAGTACCTGATAGGGCTGAGAATCTCTTCGGTCGCACCTGCAAATGGAGAGAAAACAGCGATGAGTCCTACTTCGAATGTCAATACTGAGGAACAGCGAGAGGCGCCGCAACTGCGGAGCGGACAAGTTTCCAGACACTTATTTTGGTTTCAGTTAAAAATGGCGGATTGTCAAAGCGTAGCTAAGAGGAAAAGGAAAATCTGAATAAGTAAAAAAAAAAAAAAGAAAGAAAAAAGAATTAAAGATGTTTACCCATCGCCGAGTCTCGGTTGTTTCCTCGCATACATTACCATCAATGCCGTGTTAGTGTGTTGGGAGTGGGATGTGAAAGACTGAAAACGGTGCCGTGTTTTTCTCTTGTTGATTCTGCGACCTGGGATCGTCAGTGATTGGAGCCTAGCTTGTGGGTATTTCAATGCTATCGGCAGCGCTGGTCGGAAGAGCGCCCTCACTCAGTCCATCTCCCACTCGCACACTCAGCGTCTCCAGCTGCAGACCGAGCTGCACTGGGGCTGGAGGCTGGGTTGCCACATAACAGGCAGAGGACGGCTGCGTAAAAAAAAATAAAACGATCGGCTGAGAAGAAGCACAGTAAGATCGTGTCAACACTTCACTGGGAAGAGTTGGTTCGATCCACGGCTACAACTTCTGCACATCAATAAGCATAGTTAATATATTTACTGTATCCGCCTCTGTGTGCTCCCTTTTATAAAAAAAAAATATTATCAACTCTGGAAAGTAGTATGTTGCCCAAATAAGAAAGGAATAAATCAATAGAATATCCAAACTCTCTAGTGTTGGTCAGCGGGATGTTTTTCTGCACACACAAATCCAATATCGAAGGAAATAACAAACAAGTCCGATTGGGAATGCGGGTTGTGTACAAACCTGGCAACCTCGACTGCAACTCAATTCTCTACCTCCCCCTTCCGACGAACATCCGGGACACACAGACTGGAGTCACACAATCTCCACAACTTGTGGACATTATTGCACCGTGTCCACTCTTTTATGTTATATATTTATTATAAGGGTCCACTTTTAATGTCATCTTATAGATTTTACTGTTAGTTACAACACGCACATCGGTCACTACAGTGTTTACCTGCCGCTGGAGGCGCACAGGCAGGCCGTGACTTGTTCTCTTCCGCCATCTATTGGTTATACTTTGATATCGCAGGTAGGCTGGGTGATGATTGAAACCAATAACCATTGATTATAACAATACATTTAAACACAAGTCGATATTTCTAGCTACATATAATCCCACGTGATAATATAAATAATAATTAATAGTATCAATAATAATAGTTATCATACATTTGTGTAGCACCGTTCAAAACAGTTGTTACTCAGTGCTTTACAAATCTAAAATCAAAGATTTAATTTAATAATGAAACGATATTTAATATTCATAGCGAAAATACATTTAGTTAAGGACACAATTTGTTGTACTTGTCAAATTTGTTGTACTTGTCAAAGAGACAATTCATCTTGTTTAGGTAAATCAGTTGAACAGTTGCTTCGAGAAAAAACAGCAGTAAGTTTATAACAGAGGGATAGTAAATTAAATACACAAATCGAGAAAAATAAATCCGATTAAATTTAGTTAAAATCCTAAAGAATGATTAGAGCATCACATATTAGTCAGAAGCAAGTACAACAAACATCTAAGTCTTACACTTTGGCATCCAAAAAAACTTTGTGTCAGTCTCTTCACATTTTGTGGCTGTGTGAAGGCTTTTCGATATGTTTCAGGGTGAATATCCATCAGAGGAGGGCTGCTGAGCTCCATTGTTCCTGAACAATAAGTCCCACATCATATCCCAGGCCAAGGACAAAAGAAGCTGCAGTTCAGCGTTTTGGCACACAGCACACTTTAATGTGGGGACAAGAGGGCACAAAGGGGGGTGCGCCTATTGTTAAAATTTCTAGAATCTGTTCACACAGACAGATGGACATGCCATTTTTTGTGAGTCTGTATGTTCAATCTTACAATAATGAGATATTCTGTTTGAATCCATGGGTGCATGATTTCCCCCACAATCAGTGGTCTGCAGGATTAGACATTTTCATTAGAAAGGAAACTCTGGTCTAAAACAAGGGATTGCATATTTTCTATTAATCAATTTATTCATTAAAAAATCTGGGGAAGAATCAACTCACATCCTCCACAAATTTATTTTTTCTGGTCCAATGCCACTTGTTGCTTTCTGTCTAAACATGGACTGTAGAGGGAGCTATTAAACCACTTTCTTTTTTATAAACATTTGGTAAATAAGAAACAAAATTCCCCAAACTAATACTGACTTGAATTACCTGACCACTCCCAAATAACGTGCAATAACTTGAAAAAAGTAAGGGTTCTCTTTATTACAACTTTATAACAATGTAGGGATCTTATTTTATGGGTTATTTGAACATTTCTCAAGTGAATATTTTCATTCCAACGTATATGTGTGGTTCTAATGTCTGTCTGAAATAAGGGGATGTTTGAGTCTTAAACTAATAAAAATAATAACTCTGAATAACAATGTAATTGATTAATTATAAACTGATATGTGTCATGTTAAGATTTACTAGTATAAGTGAAGTCAAATGAAATGAAAAGCTATTCACGATGCTCAGTAGATGTTCTGTGACTCGAGGTTTCTCATGAACATGAGTATAAACTATATTTCTTAGAGAATTGTGACGTCACAGTTGTGGTTGTTTTCTCCCGTCGGAGGATTAGGCGAATTTACGATGGAGGCGTTCGCCGCTCATTGACAATGCTGCGAACCAATAAGAATGCAGAATCAAACGACTGTGCACGCCCTCGCGGAATACCGACCAATGAGAGGACAGAGTTGGCGGGTTCCTCGGCGAGAGCCCGGTCTTGCGACAGATCTCAGACCAGCGGCGTGACGACAAACAGCCACACGCCGAACGCGGCCGCAGAACACAGAAACCGCTCCCAGGTCAGCGTCTCCGCAAACCGCGTCAAATGCCCTGTGGCGAAGCCGAGGCGTAACATTTTGAAAGGTTTGAGTCCCGCACGCATCGGGCTCACTCTGCGGGGATGGCTGTCAGCGCGTGAAGGGAGGAAATCACGCAAGTTGGAGGAAGAAGAAGAGAAGTTTTCCCGTGCGGAAGGAGTAAACACTGCAGGGAACCATTCAGCGGAGACCTCCCGTGCAGAGTGAGTAGCAGCGTGATGTGTTGAGCTGAGAACTTGTCTGTGGAACAATGGAAACAAAAAGGCAGCACCAGAGAGACAGTGAACGTACCACTGGGCTTCAATGGAGGATGTAGAGCCGCAACACAGTGACGTTAACCCGGCAGCGTGCTCAGGTTCAAGTAACCTTCAGGGGCATTAGCAGTTTGTCTTCTTTGGTAAAAATAGTTTTTACCCAATATGAAAACTAACTCAAAACTTTCTTCTCAGCAACGTGTCCAGTGTTTATCAATGTGAGCTTTCAGTTTCAATTAAATCCCACCTGACGTCATGTAGAGGCATGTCTTGCTGTGTGGTTGCGCATGGTGTGTTGTTATTACAACGCAACGCTGTTTGTAACGTTATCAAGCACACATGCAGCTAAGGTGCCACCTCCAGGGACCGTATAGCATCGTACATACACGTGTGTATATGTGTGTGTGTGTGTGTGTGCAAACTTGGACCACAGTGACCAAATCTCCTCTTGACACGAGCCCAACTTCCACAGATCACCCGCACACACCCTCAGCGCAGAGAGGGCTTCCTCAAAAACTCTGCAGGAAGTACAGTGTGTCAGTGTGTAGCCTGGTCCGGAGCTGAGGGAGGTCAATGCAGAGCCCTGTGCGAGGCTGTAAAGTCAAGTGGGATGACACGGAGCTTGTCACTGGCTGTCAGCGACGAGAGTCATGAGCTGCCAGCGCTGCTCAGAGACTCAGCACTTGGCCAGGCTCCATCACATCCCAGCCCAGCCACTTGTTATGCATACTTTTGACTTTGTGGATCATAATGATACAGTGCACCGTGTGTTTTCGTTTTTTTGTCCCCGCCCCAGCGAAATTGTTTCCCAAAAAAAACAATCTCTCTGCCATGATATCACTGAGGCATCGTCACATGGTGGGATTCTTCTGCATCTGTTCTGCAAAATGAAATTCCCTTCAAGGGATAGTTCACCCCCCCCCCAAAAAAAGAAAATGCACTCATCTACTCTCCACTATGGAGGGGTGGGTGTGAAGTGTTTGAGTACACAAAACTCTTTTGGAGGTTCAGGGGTGAACAGCCTTGCAGCCAAATCCAGTAGAATTGAAGTAAATGGCAACCACTTTGAAAGAACAACAGAAAAAAACTACTGTCCTGCTCCTGTGGTGTCATCAAGTGTCCATACTTCAATTGTATATTATTTGGCTGCAATGCTGTTTACCCCTGAACCTCCAAATGTGTTTTGTGGACTCAAACACTTCACCCCCTCCACCAGCATAGTGGTGAGTAGATAATGAGTGCATTTTCATTTTTGAAAAGCCACAATATCATCTGCTTCTTTATGTGGTAAAGATTCAGAGAGACCCAAGATGTCAGTAGTAATTTCTTGAAGATGGGAATGCTATTATGTTTCATTCCACTGAGTCATTTATTCCTGGTGACAGAAACAGTCTGCATACTTTTTGAATGCACACATGGCCATCATTTAGCTGAGGAGTGATGTGTGGGGCTTGAGGGAAAAAAGTTGTTAAGTTTAACATGTTTCATTGAATTATTTTGTGCATTATTTCAAATATCTGCTTAAGCAATAATGCAGTAATGATGTTGTTTCTTTTTGATCCCCTCCTCAATACCATTATTGACTGAGAACAGGGGAGACTGTGAGAGGATGACCTTCTCTCCCTTGTATTTGAATGCCACAGAGAGGGAATCTCCAGAGAGCCCACATTTCTCTCTGTAAACTCTGAAACCTCAATGGTTTGTCAGCAGTTTTGGCCAGCTCCTTTGCTCTCGGTGGGAATAGCACAGTTCTTCTTTTAAATCTTTCCGAGAAAAAGGTGGGAGGCCTGTAGTCTGAATTCCAACTGGGTAGGGAGAGTCTCTCAGGAGGCTTTGATTATAAGTGTTTTGGTCACGTAATCTCTGGTTTCTGTTTATGAGGTCAGCAGCTAAGCATCATGATAAGTCTGTGCCCTCTCTTCACAGGTTTTTTTCACTGGGGATTGAAGGTAATATGCAAAGTGTTGATAGTTGCTACAGTGTGCCTCCTGGATATATTCCCAGCTGGACTGAAAATGGCATGCCTGTTTCTTTATTTAACACTCACAGCCCTGAAGTAGGAGTGGGTGATCTGACAATTTAATCTTCCTGAAGATTTTCTCAGACGTCTCTGTGGACATCAGATGTCTACCATAATAATGTAGATTCTCGCTGTATTCACACACCAACATATTGATCTATTAGAAGGCCCCACTTTCATCATTTAGGAGCTAACGCTGAAAAAGCACTTAACATCAATATTTGACTGCGGTTGTTACGTTGCCAGATATTTCTCTGTAAACATTGTCGG